CACGTGAAGGGTGACTGGACTGGACAAACTGCTCTGTATTTGACATTGGTAATCAGTTATTATGTCAGTTGTTCTCACAAGCTCTAGGATTAATTTTTTTGTATAGAGAGATGTATGACATACCGTTATTGTGCACATATTTAATAGGGCAGGAGATATCGAGGACCTTGTTTTCCTGCTTGTTTAGGTCTGTGTGTTTTGTGGCAGTAGATATGTAGGTTATTGGGGTTGGTGTGTGTTTTAAATGACACAGCTGTGTGAGGAAGTATGCAGAGATTGGAGGGAAAGAAATGTCTGTATGTGAACATGGTGAAAGTGTGTTGTTTTTGTCCAGAATTAGACTGGGTAGTGATGATGTTGGATGATGATTTAAGCACTGCTGGAGGATAGAGCATACCTGTGTTAAACAAACACTGGTGGTGCCAGAGACATCAGATCATCCTCAGTGCTGGCGATGATGCTGATGCCGTGTGTTGAGTGAGTGAGTGGGCGAGCAAGTGGATAAGTGATGGAGTGAGTGAGTGGATGAGTGGGCGAGCAAGTGGATGAGTGACGGAGTGAGTGAGTGGGCGAGCAAGCGGATAAGTGATGGAGTAAGTTAGTGGATGAGTGGGTGAGCAAGTGGATGAGTGACAGAGTGAGTGAGTGGGCGAGCAAGCGGATAAGTGATGGAGTGAGTGAGTGGGTGAGCAAGTGGATGAGTGACAGAGTGAGTGAGTGGGCGAGCAAGCGGATAAGTGATGGAGTGAGTGAGTGGATGAGTGGGTGAGCAAGTGGATAAGTGGTGGAGTGAGTGAGTGAGTGAGTGGATGAGTGGCCAAAATAGCCACTGTTAAGTGAGTGAATGTTATTTTGTGCATTATATAATTTCATTGATAATTGAAGATTAATAGTAATGAATTGGAATGTTTTCATATGTTAATGTGATGAATATGCTTAAAAAATAGAATGTGCCCATCCCTGAACCTCAAACAACAGCTGCCACCCTTCCTAACTACTACTTGCTGACAAATCATGTCTTCTGTTATAGATTTTACTGGTAGTACACAGGTATTAATTATTGAGTCTTGATGCATTGTGATGTCATCCCACATCTCGCCACATTATGTGCCCTGCTCCAACAAGCTATACTGTTTGAAAGATGATACTATGGGTGTGACTTTACCAAAAATGAGTTGTATTGATGTGGTTGAATCATTATAAATGTTTCCTACATAAAATAACGTCCTGTTACATTGGCTCCCATCTATCAAAGAACGATGGGAGAATCCTGTTGTCCATGTTTATCTCTTGATACTGATTGAAGAACACAGCATAGGCATAAGAATGCTCAATACAGACAGAGACCATATAATAGATTTTATGGTCGCTGATACAGAACTCTGTTGCAAATTTAGTCATCTACAAAACAGATACTATGTTCTGATGCTCTATTCAATACAGTTTTTAATTTCAAAATTGGTTTAGCAATTTATTCAGGGATTATGATTACTGGAAGTGTTTAAATGGTTATGAAATATTCAGGAAGCTTGCACATGCATTAGCTGAGGCCCGCACAGGCCCCCAGTCAGGAAACTGTGTTAACATCAACCACATGTCTCCGGTGCTCACGGCAGTTCAGCAGGACTGCATAGCATTGTGTGGGGCTATTGTTTTTCACAGGTTTTGTCAATCAAGTGAACCCACTCCGGTTGTGTTAGATGGAGTCTTTGTCTTGTTGAATCCCTAGGTTTTGTCCTGCCTTGAGCCAGACTAAAAGAGTACCTGTCTTGGTGTGATGATATAGAGAAATGAAGGTGGTCTGTTGGACATTGAGTGTTTGTTTTATGGAATGAAATGCCTTGAGGGTGGGATTGTTCTGTTATTTACTCGCTTGATTCTAGTGGCACATTACCAACGACTAACTGTTATACTGTCTGCTTAAGAGGTTGTTTGTTTGATAGGTGCCTCTTTCATTGTCAGCCTTGCTCAAGCCAAGTGATTAGATTTTAGTATCTGTTAGTGTACATTGTGGCTGACGGCATTGGGTGGTCAGGCTTGCTGACTTGGTTGATGCATGTCATCATATCCCAATTGCGTAGATCAATGTTCATGATATCAAACAAATTGAATATTTACAGACTGCTGTCATATGGCTGGAATATTGCTGAGTGCAACGTTAAAGAACAAACTACAACATTGTGGTACATTTGGTAAAAAATACATCATTTTGAAATAAAGGAGGCAATACCAGTTGAATGGTATGAATAAGGTAGTTAATGTTTCTAATATAAGGTGAGGTAAGGTGAAATTGGGTTTAACGTCGCGTCCAAGATTATTGCACTTATATAGCGACGTGCATGCACGTGTGTGTGTGTGGCTGCTTGTACTAGTCCAGACTGATGCCGATTTATAGTGCTAGCTCACTGAGATACCATGCCGCAGTTTAACATGAATACCCTACTCAGACACAGTATACTGACTCCGAGCCGACCAGTCCTTGTTTTAGCCCCTTAATGTCGAGCGCCAGACAGGGTAACAACAAGTACCATCTTTTAACGTCTTTTGGTATGACGCGGCCGGGGATCGAACCCAGGACCTTCTGCTCTCCGGGCGGACGCTCTACCCCAAGACCACAGAGGCGACACGTTTCTAATATAAAGATCAGTATTTATATGAATAATGAAAGTCAAAATACAAAACAATGCAATGGTACAATAGGTTGTCCATCATGTAGAATAACTTTTATTCAATTTCTTATTGATCTAATTGTAATCATTGGGTTAAAAACATTATTTGGAATAAGCTTAAGAATTAAATGCATATACATCAGTTGTAAGAGGCTTTGGTTTATACAAGTTCATTGTAAGTCATGACAGATAAAAATATCTTATCTTAAAAATATCAGCTTCAGTATCAGGGTCTCATGTAATTCTTTGTGAAAGGATAGTGATGTTTTGGGGGCAAGTTACAGATGCTGCATTAAGCAATAGTTTTCACTGACTCACTACAAGAATTGACTCAAGTAATGAAAGCATTGGCCGGGAAGGAGTGTCAAAGAGTGCCATTCCACACTGTTTTTCAAACGAAGTGACAAGCATCAGGGGAATAAAACGGCTGTAAACCTGAAGTGTGTCTAGGATGTACAAGTAGAAAGACACCGGTCTCATCCTTCAGAGTCTAGCTAGGCCATGGGTGCAACAGACCAGAATATGCTTGCTTTATGTCTGGCTTAATTAGATTCTGTGACAGTTTTATTGAGCTGAAGCTTGTTAGCCAATTACACTGCAGCAGCTCTGGTACTGCACATGCCAGGTGCTTGAACCAGGCTTCAACAGAGCTTCTGGTTTGTTGGAGAAAGTGGTATTCATTGCACCCTATTGTATGTGTGTGATATATTTTGGATTGGATCTCAAGCCTGTATGAATTCACAGATATTCATCTTTTGATGAACCCGACATGTTGTGTAGTTTATCACTGTTCAATGATCTCCTGTACCATGACCTCCTGTATGATGATCTCCTGTACCATGATCCCTTGTTAAATGATCTCCTGTACCATGATCTCCTGTATGATGATCTCCTGTATGATGATCTCCTGTACCATGATCTCCTGTACCATGATCTCCTGTATGATGATCTCCTGTACCATGATCTCCTGTACCATGATCTCCTGTATGATGATCTCCTGTACCATGATCTCCTGTACCATGATCTCCTGTATGATGATCTCCTGTACCATGATTTCCTGTACCATGATCTCCTGTATGATGATCTCCTGTACCATGATCTCCTGTACCATGATCTCCTGTATGATGATCTCCTGTACCATGATCTCTAGTACCATAATCTCCTGTATGATGATCTCCTGTACCATGATCTCCTGTATGATGATCTCCTGTACCATGATCTCCTATATGATGATCTCCTGTACCATGATCTCCTATATGATGATCTGTACCATGATCTCCTGTACCATGATCCCTTGTTAAATGATCTCCTGTACCATGATCTCCTGTATGATGATCTTCTGTACCATGATCCCTTGTTAAATGATCTCCTGTACCATGATCTCCTGTACCATGATCCCTTGTTAAATGATCTCCAGTACCATGATCTCCTGTATGATGAAATCCTGTACCATGATCTCCTGTACCATGATCTCCTGTACCATGATCTCCTGTATGATGATCTTCTGTACCATGATCCCTTGTTAAATGATCTCCTGTACAATAATCTCCTGTATGTGGTGAGGTGCGGTGAAATGGGGTTAAAGGTCACGTCCAAGATTGTTGCACTTATATAGCGACGTCCATGTACGTGTGTGTGTTTGTGTGTGTTTGTGTGGCTGCTTGTACTAGTCCGGACTGATGCCGATTTATAGTGCTAGCTCACTGAGATACCATGCCACAGTTTAACATGAATATCCCACTCAGACACAGTATACTGACTCCGAGCCGACCAGTCCTTGTTTTAGCCCCTTAATGCCGAGCGCCAGACAGGGTAACAACAAGTACCATCTTTTAACATCTTTTGGTATGACGTGGCCGGGGATCGAACCCTGGACCTTCCGCTCTCCTGTATGATGATCGCCTGTAAAATTATCCCTTGTTAAATGATCTCCTGTATGATGATCTCCAGTACGATGATCTCCCGTACAATGATCCCTCGTTCACTTGTACGATGATCACTTGTACAATGATCTCCTGTATTATGATCCCTTGTACAATGATCTGTATTATGATCCCTTGTACTATGATCTGTATTATGATCCCTTGTACTATGATTTGTCTTATGATCCCTTGTACAATGATCTGTATTATGATCCCTTGTACAATGATCTGTATTATGATCCCTTGTACAATGATCTGTAATATGATCTCCTGTACAATGATCTCCTGTACGATGGTCTCCTGTATGATGATCTCCTGAACAATCATCTCAGGTACATTTGTCTGAGGTAATTGTCTTGCTATTTCAATGCTGGTACATTTGTGTGATGTAGTTTTGTTGCAATTTCAGAGCAAAGACAAGGAAGGCAAGTCTAAGGCCAGCACCCATCATCAGTTTGTGAGTGTCTCCATCAGCAACTCCACCACCTGTGATGTGTGCCACAAGCCCATGGCTAATAAACCTGCTCTACAGTGTGAAAGTAAGACTTCACCATATTACAGCTAGACCATTGGTTTTCTTGTTTTGCAGATGAACTTGCCTTAAATTAAGTAAAAGTAAACCAAAAATGTGGATTTCTTTTTCAATTTCTTACTTTTTACTTTAATGGGGAATACAACCCATGCTGTTTTGAATGCACAGCGCTCACCACTGTGCTAAGCTAAATAAAAACTTTGAAATTCATATATTTTTTTTTAACTACATTTCACAATGTGAAATTCAATTATGCTATGAACATAACATGAATTACCGAGGATCTCATGTCCCAGACATTAAAGTGGATCCTATGATCCAATTCATGGAAGATTTGACTGAATGGAATTTTATAACAGATTTCTTTTGCAATAGCAGACAGAAGTTAAAAACATGTTTGCATTTGAAAAACACATTTTCAAACATTTTCAACTCTTATTGAAAATACAGTGAAAAAAATAATTTTTACTCCCAACAATTCTAAAACTGTATAATCCCTCAATCTCATAACTTCTTTCAACAAGAATGACAAAAATGTTGAAAATATAATGTCATCCATTATAATTTATCAGTGACATGGGTTCTGTGAGTCAAGCAATTAGGATTAGAGTGTGAGAGTGTTATCACTCCCCGACCACATTCCCTGCACAAACAGGCTCCCAGTAGACCCACACCAACACACAACAGTCACACCATTTTTGTTTCATTTTGAGACTATCAGCCTACCCATCATGGCAGCCATGAGCCTGGGTGACCCCTAAGGTCAGCCGTTGCACAATAGGGATAGGGAGATTTCCCCAAACTGGCTCATGTCAAAAGGCAATTTGTTAAGCAGATTAAATTCCAGACTTGTATCTTTCACAGGGCAGGTTTGAAATGCTTCTGATTGGGTCCATGTGGGTTTCACTTTGATGTTGTGGGGACTATTTTGTTGTGTTTGAAGAGTCAAAGGTCATGTTAGGAGTTGAGGGCACTTGGCAGGGAAGAGTGTATGGTATGACTGGAGGTTTTGCTCCAGGCAGGTAAAACATATCTTCTGCATGGATTGTTGGGGTTCAATGTTTTGTAAAGGCATTGTGGAGCACAACAGACCTTTATGTGCAGAGCTGGGTATTTTGTTAGACACACTTTGTACTTGAAACACTACAAGCATGTCGGATGGGAGAAAAAAGATGAAAAATAGATTCTATCATAGGTTTAGAGTTATATACTACTCAGAAGAAGTTAAAGAACAAGCAATGTTTTCAGATGACTGTATTTAATCTTTCATGCCATCACACAAATTTGAGCATTCTTCAACTTCTTCTGAGCAGTATATGACTCCTATAACCTGTAATAGAATCTATTTTTAAGTTTTATTCTCCAAGCCAACATGCTTGTAGTGTTTCAAGTACAAAGTGTGCTCTTTTCTTTTGAGTAGTATGTTTTAATGTTTTAGGTGGGAGGAGAGTGATAGACATTAAGGGTATTGTGAACGGAGGAATAGTAATTATTTCTACTTGTGCACTTACTAATTGCATGTACTTACATTATTACTTACTGTTTTCAGATTGCCTGATGTATGTACACGAGCACAACTGCAAGGATCAGATTTCAATCTGTGACAAGAGCCGACGGGTAGGTGATACTGCCCTTTGTCTCATGTGTGTTAGAGCTGTAGATCTCATGGGAATATATCTCTTTATCTTATAGATGTTACAACTCCATATCTCATAGGTGCTAGGTTGGAGGTGTTATAGCGCTTTATCTCATTGATGTTACATCTCCATATCTCATAGGTGCTAGGTTGGAGGTGTTATAGCGCTTTATCTCATTGATGTTACATCTCCATATTTCATAGGTGCTAGGTTGGAGCTGTTATATCTCTTTATCTTATAGATGTTACAACTCCATATCTCATAGGTGCTAGGTTGGAGCTGTTATATCTCTTTATCTTATAGATGTTACATCTCCATATCTCATAGGTGCTAGGTTGGAGCTGTTATATCTCTTTATCTCATTGATGTTACATCTCCATATCTCATAGGTGCTAGGTTGGAGCTGTTATAGCTCTTTATCTCATTGATGTTACAACTCCATATCTCATAGGTGCTAGGTTGGAGCTGTTATAGCGCTTTATCTCATTGATGTAACAACTCCATGTCTCATAGGTGCTAGGTTGGAGCTGTTATAGCGCATTATCTCATAGATGTTACAACTCCACGTCTCATAGGTGCTAGGTTGGAGCTGTTATTGCGCATTATCTCATAGATGTTACAACTCCATGTCTCATAGATGCTAAGTTGGAGCTGTTAAAGCGCTTTATCTCATTGATGTTACAACTCCATGTCTCATAGGTGCTAGGTTGGAGCTGTTATAGCGCATTATCTCATTGATGTTACAACTCCATGTCTCATAGATGCTAAGTTGGAGCTGTTATAGCGCTTTATCTCATTGATGTTACAACTCCATGTCTCATAGGTGCTAGGTTGGAGCTGTTATAGCGCATTATCTCACAGATGTTACAACTCCATGTCTCATAGGTGTTAAATTGAAGATGGATAAATGAGGAGATTTACATAGGCGTTCCAGCACTTTGCCTCATGTGTAGTGTTATGGCTCATTATGCCTTGGTTGGAGGTGCAGTCCATCATCTAATAGACAACAGATCGTGTGCTGTACGTTGTCCCGTTAACCAACCCCTTGTTAAGAGCATGTACAGTGGCAGAGTTATCTCAATGGTACACAAGTCACTGTATCTGGGCTACTGGGGGTCGGTATTGATACATTTGAAATAATGTCTGTCATTGGCCACACAAGTTATTAAAGTTCTCAAGGAATCTCAAGAAATTGGTAAATGTTACAGCTCTTTTTCTCATATGTAAGTGTTAAAGCACTTAATCTCCTATATAAGTGTCACAGCTCTCTATCTCATATGTAAATGTGACAGATCTTTATCTCATATGCAAGTGTTACATCTCTTTTTGTCCTATGTAAGTGTCACATCTCTCTATCTCATATGTAAATGTGACAGATCTTTATCTCATATGCAAGTGTTACAGCTTTTTGTCCTGGATAGGTGTTGCAGGTCTTTATCTCCTATATAAGTGTTACAGCTCTCTATCTCATATGTAAAGGTGACAGATCTTTATCTCATATGCAAGTGTTACAGCTCTTTATGTCCTATATACGTGTTGCAGGTCCTTATCTCCTATATAAGTGTTATAGCTCGACCTATACTTGGAGTTTTATGATAGAGTTTAGAATATTGCATCACATAGTTGTTAACAGCTCTTATCTCCAAGATGACACAGCTCTGTCTCATGTGTAGGTGTTACAGCTCTATGTCTCATACTCTTATTACAGCTCTTAATCTCATCGGAAATAGCGTTATGTACAACAGTGTTACAATTTTAGATGTATTTCATGGATAATATTTCCCATAGGATTTACAGCTCTAGCATAAAAAATAACGTTGGTATGAGATTTTGTTCATATTGCAATCATTATTGTGATTATTTTCCATCAATTATTATTTAATAATATGTATGCTGATATTATACAGTTAAGTCTCCAAACATAGTAGTTTGTGTTTTTATGTGTTTAATGATGAGGACACACATGACATCTGATCACTGTGGATATACCAATGTGAATGTGTTCCTGAACTGTACAACGAACCAACCTGATCATGAACGTCCGATCAAGGACAACGGATCTTCATCTGCTCCAGTTTCACGGATATAAAACAAAAACTGTAAAGAAATGCGCAACTCTGTACAGTCACAAGTTATCAAGTGTAAACAATTCCTTCACAAGAAACTGAAAGTACAGTGGACGAAGAACATACAAACTGTTCTTCTGAGGACTTGTGTCACAGGACACTGCTGGAAAGATTTTGCTGAGTGTTTAATCTCTATTCAAGCATTGAAGATCAGTATAATAACAGGAAATATCATTTACCATCATCAACAGGAAAACAGAAGACCTCATTACCCCGATCAACCTTGGGCATGGCAGAGCACTGTACTTGGTGACTGCCATTTTGTTAGTAAACTCCTCACACCACCTCCCAACTTGCCTCCACCTGGTAACACTTTCTGCTAGACAAGCTCCATACAGCCTCCTTCACACCTGTAAATAAAGATAGCTATCTGTTGATCAGTTTCACCACTCCTCCGCCTCAGGTAACCATGACAGAATGATGATGATTTCCATACTACAATAATCACATTCTTGGGGAGATTCTAGACAGTTATTTGTCTTCAGGGTATTGTGTTTTTCTGTTGAGGAGGAAATGTTTCAATGCACAATCAGAAGGACCACCTTTTGGAAGGAATAACTGTAATATTTTATGTATGACCTTGGCAAGCAGTTTTTATAGCTTATATATGTCATATTCAACAGAGTAAACATAATGACTGTGAATAGATAGTCATTATTATTGGTATAAGTGGTTTACAGAACCTATTAATAACATGAAGCAGTAAGAGATAACAGCTGTAATAAATATTAAGGAATTATTTAAAAATTATATAGGATATTTTAGAGTATGCCGTTTTTATAGTTTCTTATTCTTTGTGCAATCAGCATGAACAGGCATTGAATAGAGGCATTATTAATTAATCAGCTGTAATCAACTTATAGGTATATCTTTTGAAACAAAATCTTTTACTTTCCATAGCTTTAGCAATAATAGGAAAACAAAAGTGCCTGAAAGTTCACAAGATCTGAAAAAAATAATTGATGTAGTTTATATACTACTCAAAATAAGTTAAAGACCACCAGTTCTTTCATATGCCATGACAGAGTAACTGTAGTGATGTAGGAAAGAATCAAGTGGTCCTCATCTTTTTTTGAGTAGTATACTACCCAACTGACCCTAACTGAAGTGACAAGATAGACACAATTTTATGGATAACAACTTCTTTCATACTGTGAAAAGCGATGTTTAGGTGTAGATCCTTATACCGTTGTCCTTGCTTGTCATCTTGTCGTCCGTCAACTTCTAAGTAATGCCTATCAAACAACCTAACTGAAGTGCTGACCCTAAATTTTTGGCCAAAACAAAAGACACAAATGATTACACATTCCAAACACAATTTTACAATGTTTTCTGACGTAGTTGCAGGGTTGTTTTTAAAAATAAGTGTGTACCAAGCCATTATGCACTGAACCATAACATTACTTTTATGAGGCAGGACTCCACCCATGTAGATAATGTGTTTGCTAACAGGTGAAGCATAGTGTTCTTAATGGCATATAGCAGGCAGTGTTTACAGTTGTGATATGATCTCAGCATCGCTGTGTGTAGACGTGTATCCCCCTTCTGTACCAATCTGTCATCCATCTGGAGGGGAACTGGTACAACTACTAAGTGTTGGTAAATATTTCCTTCTATATCTTACGTGAAGAGCAGCACCTAGTCACACATGGAGGATGAGGTGGCGAAATGGAATTTGGTTCCTGAAAACAATACTTATTTCCATTACAAAGGCTTGTTATTGGCATTTTTTTCTGAATTTTGTCTGTATTTGTTTATGTGTAAAACTGGTCATGGTTTACAGGAAGAGAAGAGATAGTTGTGTGATGTATGTTTTTTGTGTGGACCAAACTAGGAGGTGCTTTGCACACAGGTGTTGTGGTATAGTGTTGGGAGAATGTACATTGGAATAACTTGTGGGTCGATTGGCTTGGCTCGTCTTTGTAATCAGCAGGTATGTATATTATACTTGGTAGGGTAGGGAGACACTGACCTTTTATGGATAGCAACTTCTTCTTTGTTTGTTACAACGTCTTGTGCTTCTTGAAATGTTGTTGAAGACAGTAAAACAGTGTTTGTCAATAAAAGGTTTCATGTCTTTGCATTTTACAACTTCTGAATGTCATTCAAAGACATGGAAATGTATGTTAGGGCTTGGACAAGGCTTTAGTGTTTCATAAACATTCAAAGAATACAGTTAAACCTCGGAGACTAAATATTTACCTTTGAGAATATATTCTCTTATTGGCAATTCGATAGAAGCAGCGTTAGATTATGTGACCAGTGCTTGCTGATCATGAATAATACATTTGACCTTAGGTAAGACTTTTTTAAATTAGTTTTTGAATCTGCCAACTCCAAAAAAGTTAAATGAAATTTAATTTTTTAATTTTTTTTTAAAAGAAGTGTTGTAATTTTTAACATTTTGGCAGATTCGAAAACCAATTTCGCTGACCAGAAATATGTAAGATGTTAAAAAACCCGACTGTGGTTGATCCAGCCATGACATTTGTTGGTGTTTCTTTCCCTGTTCATTCAGAAGTTAGCTGGATGATTGGAAAGAAGACAACATTGTCATCTAGTTAGTATCAAGCGTAACTGTATCTGTTGTCACTGGGGATGTGTGTTGTGGATAAATAGTTTGCTGGGCGCACCAAGGTCTTGGGTTTGATTCCCCACATGGGTACAAAGTAGGAAGTTCATTCCTGGTGCTCCCTCCCCTGCTAAGGATGGCATATTTCTAAATGCAGTTTCAGACGCAACTCACTGAAACACTCCAGTTGCATCAACAACAAACAATGTTTTGTAAAACCTTCAAATCTGGGTGGAGTAGTGTCCAGAGGCTAGACAGATAGTGGTCAAGAAGATTCTGACA